TATTGGTGGTCAAAACTAAAAATGTTAAGGTTATCTCATGTCTGCTAAATCCTACACGTATAGCTGAATTATAATGATCAATAGCCTGAGAGGCATTACAATGGTCAAAAGACATTAGGTTACCAATCTAATCTAATATAGATTTAAACTCGATTCAGATATTCTCTGATCCAGCTAGAACACAGAACCCTTCTATCTGAAAGTACAGTTGTGTTAACTATGCCTCCCATGCTTTAAATAAATATTATTTATACCTTTTTTTTTGTGAAAATGATCAGTTGGGAAAAGGGTTAAAGGTTAGCAGGTTATGTTTTTAAATTAATTTTTTTGTCCCCTTTGTGTTTTTAAAAAAAAATAAAAAATTTTTATTCACTTACATTTTTTAGTTATATAAAAGAAAAAGTCGTTATTTTTTCTCATGAGGAGCAATTTTTCTTTGGCAATTTTTGGCAGCAGGTGGAGTTTAAGCAACATTCCATTTCCGTTACTAATTTACTCACAATCCATCAGTTAAAAGAACCCCACAGAACCCCAAAGAACCCCAGCACAGAAAGAAAAAATGATAAATATAAATAAGGGCAAGTAGCCAATGGGCCCTGGTGCAATAATTTTTTTTTTGGGTCCCCAGCCGCAAGGATTGAAAAAAAAATTATATCCCCATCTGTCATACAACTCCCACAATGCTTTCCAGCTGGGGATCTACCATTTGCTCACCCTTGCAGGGTTGTACTTAGCACTGAGCAGTTTTTGCATGTTTGAATGTAACTGTAACGGATCACCTGGCACCCCGACTGGGTACCTCCGTTGAAGGATGCTCCTAGCGCTTCCTGAGGACTCCAAGCACTGCAGCAGAAACCACAACCACAGAACCGGAGTAGCATATGAATGCTCGCAAGCATATGAATGCTGTAAACAGCTGAACAGGAAAAGCATACAATCAGCTTACACTCCTGGCAATCAGCATACAATCCAATTCCCCCAATAACGAGACAACACTTCATTTTGAGGTCAAGCAGAACTGACTGTACTGGCACATACAGCCTCTTTTATTCACAATCCACAAACATAGTACTGCCCACAGGGTTTTGAAATACAACCAATCAATCCGTACAATACACACAGACACTCCCACACAAAATCCTCCCCTCTGCCTGTGATATGATTACTGAACACAATGGGTAATATAATTATCACAGGCAGAGAAATACAGTTTTTACAAAATATTAATGACTTCCAAAATATACATGCCATTCACATAAAACATACATTTTCAGAATCCACATGCTTGAAATATACACATACTCAAAAATCAGGGCAATCGGTTCAGGGGTTAAAAAGTTAAGGGAAAGTCCTATTTGACAAAATGAAGCATGGTTTTTCTGCCCAAAACCAGTTCCACAGAGTCTTCTATCCTGGAGATAATTGGGAAGTAATCCAATTATCTCCAAGGACAGAGGCAAAACTCCATTAGCCACATGGTAGCAAAATACAATAAAATAATAAAAATATATAACTGTGCAGCGATTGCATAAAACGGGTACATTCAACATATCCCCAGATAGCTTAGATCTGAGCGCAAATTATTACTGAATGGCGCTCAGATCACATACATACAGTTCAATTGCCATGGAGCCAAAGTCTTTCACATAGTCTTTCGTTATACGAATGGGCTCCATGGCATAGCTATCTGGGGTAACACTGCTCACATAGGGAAAGTACCAAATGACCCGGCTTTCGGGTCTTTGCAGGGGAAAATCCAGCATTTCAACATGGGGCCATAGTCACAACAGGAGGCTGGCAATCAATCTTCTCCAATGCCCAGTGGCGAGGCTGGTTCCGCCACAGTAACTGTGTTTTTGTATAGCGTATGTGTGTGGGAATGTAGGTGTGAGGAACTGACTCTGCTGGGTTTCGAACCCTGGTTTACATGGTGCTAAACCTCTTCCTTACCAGTACACCAACCTGCCTTTTGCAAATTTACCTGAGATCTGATACTATTGCTTGTAGAGTCAAGGTTATCAGTGACAAATCTCTTCAGCTGTGTCTGGTCAGGTGTTTGGTTCTTGGCCTATAAAAGCCACTTCCTGTCTCTGTACCTTTGCCAGATTATTGTGGTTCCTGTACTCTCTAATCAAGCGTGTTCCTGTTTCTCCTTCCTGTTGCTGAATTTGGACTGTTTTGACTTTGCTGCTTCTCCTTCCCACTGACCTCGCTTGCCTCACTACGATTATCATCTTTCTGTTCCAGTCTCCCATCTCTGCTTAAGACCAGAAGGCCACTCAAGGCTCAGGGGCTCAACCACCTGGGTAACGAGTGGCTACCTCTGGCAGAAAACATTGCTGACCTGGCTACTGGACTCCAAAACTTTGTAACATCAATATCATTACAGAATAATCTGGCCCATTCATGGAGACCGTCGGATCAGATTCTGCATTGGCCCAGCAGGTTGCTTTTAATGCAAGAACTATGCAGACCCAGGCACAGACCATTCAAGTGCTGCAGAATCAGGTAGCTGAACTGCAAAATGAAGTTCGATCAATGCATAGTGAGCTTACCAGCTACAGGGCACATGATGTTGCGGCTGCTGCTACTACTACTGTTACACCTGCACAAGATGCCCGCTTGCCTCTACCAGAAAAATTTGGAGGAGACCGCAAAAAATTCAGGGGTTTCCTAAATCAATGCCGTTTGCATTTCATGATGTTACCTAACCATTTTCCATCTGAAAGAGAGAAGGTGGGATTTATTTTTTCCCTCTTCAAAGATGAAGCCCTGGCCTGGGGCTCCCCTTTTCTGGAACAGGACAGTCCAGTCTTGGGAAATTTAAAAGACTTTCTTGAGGCCATGTGCCTAGTTTTTGATGATCCCAATCGCTGTGCTACAGCAGAAGCCACTCTCCTTCATTTACATCAAGGGAGGCGCTCTGTGGCTGAATATGCTGCTGAATTCAGACAGTGGGTTACTGATACTACTTGGAACCAATCAGCCCAGAGGTTCCACTTCAGAAGGGGTCTCTCAGAAGCTATAAAAGATGAGCTAGCTCGTGTTGATCTTCCTGTTGAGTTTGATGCATTTGTGCGGTTGGCTATCCGTATTGATCGGAGACTTTCAGAAAGAAGATTGGAAAGACAGGGCTCTTTTAAACCAAGTGCTACTCCTACTTTCTATTCAAGAATTTCTACTCCGACCCCACAAACACCTACAGACTCTGAACCTGAGGCTATGCAGGTAGATCTAATAAGAGGGCCATTATCCAATGAAGAAAAACAGTGGCGACGCACTCACAACTTATGCCTGTATTGTGGTAGTGCAGGGCATTATGCCATCAATTGCCCTAACAAGTCTAAAAGAACAATAGCTATGACTGCTGAGGGTGCACAGATTCAACACCAATCCCAGATTTCAGACCAACTGGATTCTGTCACACAACCCTTGTTTTCTCTGGCTCAGGGTGAAGAAGGTATGATGACTCAACATCCTCATTTGGTGGTGCCTATCACTTTGCAATATGGTGATAATAAAATTTCAACTACAGCTATGATAGATTCCGGAGCAGGCGGAAACTTTATGGACATTAAATTTGCATCGGGAAATAAAATTCAGTCTATTCCTAAATCTTCACCTGTGTTAATGGAAACAGTAGACGGTTCTCCACTTACGTCAGGCCCGGTTACACATGAAACTGTGCCCTTAAAATTGATTCTGGAAGTGAATCACCATGAGTCTATATCTTTCCACCTTATTTCCTCAACACAGTTTCCAGTGATTTTGGGTATACCCTGGCTTGCTCTGCATAACCCACAGATTGATTGGAAGACTAGAACTTTGTCCTTTCCTTCAGAACACTGCTTAATGAATTGTCAACCCTCTAAGGCGACACCTGTTACCACAACAATTAATGAAATGGTTGCTACAAACTTAACTAAGCTTCCGCTACAATATCGGGATTTTGCAGATGTCTGTGATAAGAAGAATGCTGATCAGCTTCCACCTCACAGGCCTTATGATTGCCCCATAGAGCTGCTACCTGGAGCTGCTATCCCATTTGGCCGTATATACTCCCTTTCTGAGCCTGAATTGAAAGCACTTCGTGAATACATACAAGAAAATCTTGCCAAAGGCTTTATTCAACCATCCACTTCTCCAGCAGGAGCTCCTATATTCTTTGTAGAAAAGAAAGATGGCAGTCTACGGCCATGTGTCGATTACAGGGACATTAATAAAATCACTGTTAAAAACCGTTATCCCTTGCCTCTCATTCCTGAACTTCTGGAGAGACTTCGTTCAGCTAAAATATTTACGAAGCTTGATCTACGGGGGGCATATAATCTGGTTCGCATAAGACCAAATGATGAATGGAAAACAGCTTTCAGAACCAGGTACGGACATTACGAATATCTAGTAATGCCATTTGGGCTTTGTAATGCCCCTGCAACTTTTCAGCATCTAATCAATGATGTACTACGGGATCTCCTGGATCAGTTTGTTGTGGCATATTTGGATGATATCCTGATATTTTCTGATAATCTTGAAAATCACAGAAAACAGGTCTGCATTGTTCTTGAGCGCCTTCGTACCCACCACCTATACATTAAACTGGAAAAATGTGAGTTTGAACAAACAGAAATTCAGTTCCTGGGGTATGTAATAACTCCTAAAGGTTTAAGTATGGACGCAAGTAAAATTAAAGCTGTGCTGGACTGGCCCATCCCCAAGAATGAAAAAGATATACAGAGATTTGTGGGGTTTGCCAATTTTTACAGGCGTTTCATTAAGAATTTCTCTGCCGTTATTACACCGATCACTGAACTTACACGTAAAGGGACTCCTTTTCAGTGGTCCAATAAGGCTGACACTGCATTTTCCAGATTAAAGACTCTGTTTACATCTGCCCCTATCTTGGTACATCCTCAGCCAGAATTGCCATTTACTGTAGAGGTAGATGCTACTGATTCAGCTGTTGGGGCTATACTGTCTCAAAGGACTGGACCTAAGATGTTGTTACATCCATGTGCCTTCTATTCCCGCCAGATGTTACCAGCAGAAAGAAATTATGACATAGGGAATAAAGAACTTTTGGCTATAAAAGCTGCCTTCACCGAATGGAGACATCTCTTGGAGGGAGCCACCCATCCAATTACTGTCCTCACAGATCACAAAAATCTGTAATGTATCCAATCCGCTAAAAGACTGTCAGCCAGACAAGCACGCTGGTCCCTATTTTTCTCAAGGTTTAATTTTTTTATTTCATACCGCCCTGGTTCCAGAAATGGCAAGGCGGATGCCTTGTCTAGGATAGCTGACCCCCTCCATACTACAGTAACCAAGGCCACCATCTTGCCAGAGAGCAGATTTTTAGGAGTTACCTTTCCTTCTGATCTAATGTCTCGCATTAAAAAGGGCTACTCTAAAGATCCAGTTTTTCGTGATCCTCCTCGTGATCTTCATATGACCATGCTTAATGGGTTTTGGATTTTTCAACAACGTCTGTTTGTTCCAGAATCAGTGCGACTGGACGTTTTACGCCTCTACCATGACTCTAAACCAGCAGGTCATCCAGGAATCCGAAAGACACAAGAACTACTTACCCGATCCTTTTGGTGGCCTAAATATTATGAGGATGTTAAGAAGTATGTGTCCTCTTGTGATGTATGTGCCAGACATAAGACTCCTCGCTCATCCCCTGTTGGCTTGCTTCAGCCTCTTCCGATTCCTCATCGTCCCTGGGGATCTATATCCATGGACTTTATTGTGGAACTACCTCCCTCTAAGGAACACACTACCATTCTTGTTGTTGTGGACCGGTTAACTAAGATGAGTCATTTCATACCAGCTCGTGGTCTCCCTTCAGCTAAACAGACTGCTGACCTTGTTATTCGGGAAATATTTCGCTTGCATGGAGTGCCTGATGAAGTAATTTCTGACAGGGGAGTGCAGTTTACATCTCATTTTTGGAAATATTTTTGTTCTATTCTAGGTATTAATGTAAATCTGTCTTCAGCTTTTCATCCACAAAGTAATGGACAGACTGAGCGAACCAACCAGACTTTAGAACAATATTTGCGGTGCTATATTAGTTACCTGCAGGATGACTGGCTGGATTTTCTACCCACGGCGGAGTTTGCCTATAACAATGCCCAACACTGCTCCACTTCTCTGAGCCCATTTTTTGCCAATTATGGTTACCATCCAACCTTTCTAGTGAGTCTCCCAATTACTACTCCCATTCCTGCAGTCACTGACCGGCTAACCGCCTTACGAGATTCCCAAGAACTGTTGAAGGAGACTCTTTCGGAGGCTCAGGAATGTTACAAAAGAGCTGCTGATAGGCACAGAAAGGAGGCCCCAGTTTATCATGTTGGTGACAAGGTTTGGCTGTCAACAAAGAATCTTAAGCTTAGGATTCCTTCTAATAAATTGGGTCAAAAGTTCATGGGACCTTTTAAGATAATCGCTCAGATCAATGCAGTCACCTTCCGTCTGCAACTTCCGGATTCCATGAAAATACATCCGGTGTTTCACGTGGCACTGCTTAAACCTTTTCATGAAAATACTTTCCCTGGTCGAGCCTTGCCTGCCCCACCACCAGTCCTCGTGGATGGTGAAGATGAATACGAGGTGGAAAAAATTCTTGACTCCAGGATCTTCCGCAACAAGCTTCAATATTTGGTTCATTGGAAAGGCTATGGTGAGGAGGATAGATCATGGGAACCAGTGGACAATATTCATGCTCCTGATCTTCTTCAGTCTTTCCATGCACAGTACCCTGCTAAACCAGGAAATAGGGCATCCAGAGGCTGCGCCTGTAGAGGTGGAGGTAATGTGAGGAACTGACTCTGCTGGGTTTCGAACCCTGGTTTACATGGTGCTAAACCTCTTCCTTACCAGTACACCAGCCTGCCTTTTGCAAATTTACCTGAGATCTGATACTATTGCTTGTAGAGTCAAGGTTATCAGTGACAACTCTCTTCAGCTGTGTCTGGTCAGGTGTCTGGTTCTTGGCCTATAAAAGCCACTTCCTGTCTCTGTACCTTTGCCAGATTATTGTGGTTCCTGTACTCTCTAATCAAGCGTGTTCCTGTTTCTCCTTCCTGTTGCTGAATTTGGACTGTTTTGACTTTGCTGCTTCTCCTTCCCACTGACCTCGGCTTGCCTCACTACGATTATCATCTTTCTGTTCCAGTCTCCCATCTCTGCTTAAGACCAGAAGGCCACTCAAGGCTCAGGGGCTCAACCACCTGGGTAACGAGTGGCTACCTCTGGCAGAAAACATTGCTGACCTGGCTACTGGACTCCAAAACTTTGTAACATCAATATCATTACAGTAGGTGTGTATTTGTGTGTTGTGTTGTGTATTATTATTATTTTTACACACTCAAATGCAAACATGTGTATACAAAGTTATATTGGACATTTACTTAATACATATATATGGAACCTGAAAGGGCCCAGGACCTACAAAGTTCACACCCTTACAAACACAGATACACACATGCACAGACACACAGTAACACACATACTGATACACATGCAGATACACAGGCACACGAATACACTTACAAAAACACAGACAAACACACACACATTGACACACATACAGATACAAAGACACACACAATGACACTCACACTGATACACATACAGATGCACACACACACACACACACACAACATATACACACACAGAAATAAGCACAAGTAACACATGAACACAATTAAGACATACAAACAGACAGGTAACACATACACCCACACACAGATTACACACATAACACATAAACAAATAGCACACATATATACACAAATAACACATACACACAGTTAAGACAAACATACACAGATAACCCCTACACACACACACACACACACACAGATAACACATATACAGACATATACATTCAAAGATTACATAACATATTTTTAGCCACACCCTTCTTCCATACCTTTATTGTGCAGGAGGGTGGCTTCCCCGGGGTCCAGTGGTGTCTGGCTGAGTGTGATGGAAGTCTTGGCCAGGTTTTCCCTCTTCTGGTCCTGGCTCTCAAACTCCCTCCTCTCTGGTCCTCAGATGTCTTACTCTCCTGTGCTGCTCTTTTGTACACTGTGAGGAAGTGACTTGTGTTCCTTCCTCCCAGCACTGCGTTTTCTCACAGACTAGGGGGCCAGTTGAGCTGTTAAGGGCCACAACCCCTGACCGAGCCCATGGTCAAACATGGCTATTGATCCAGGCTATCCAGGGATATAAGACTTGTGGGGGTTCCTATTAATATTATGCATGTTTTGGGGTGTTTTATGTTTTATTCAATGTACCTGTAGTGCCTGGGAGATACTTAGTTCAAGTAAAGTAAACTCACTTATCTCCTAGACACAGAGACACCTGAGCGTGTTTTACCTACATTTTTGCTGGATACTACCTGCTGGGGGTCTGATAGTGAGGAATTTTCTATGTCAGGAATTTCCCATCGCCATGGTCTTTTGTATCAATTTGCAACTCTCTGTATTTCTCCTTGTCACCATATAGTGAGTAGCCCCAATGAACGAGACAAGACAAAGCAAGGTTCAAAGTTACTTCTAACATCAGTGTATTATCCCCAACAGAGTCTGTGTATAAGAAATGGCCATCTGGCCATAAAAAAAACATTCCTGTTGTACCCTTCATCAAGTCTCAACTGATGTTTGGGTATGCGAATGACGAAGAGCTATTAATCACATAACCTTGCTGGAGTTCAAGAGAGTATGAACGGATGTATGATTCAAAAGGGCTATATTTGCACAACCTTACAGGAATTCGAGAGAGTGCGAACGAACATTGTGACAGACCCATCCGTATGGACTAAGATTGCTAAGTTTGTCTGTTTGCTTATTTCACGAACTCCCCCATTCGTATGCCTGGATTTAAGTGAATTGACTTTTTTACTGAACAAAACTGTCGAACGGACGGCCACCCAGAAGAGAAGTGTGCTGCTGGTTAACCTACTGATCCCAATTAGAACGTTGCGGTTAACCACAGACACTTCTCAATTAAAACTGAATACAGGATGGTCGTCGTTCGTATGTCGACCACGAGGCGGCGGCCATTTTAAACCATGCGAAAGACCAGCGGTGTTCGGTACTAAATTCATGGAACTGAAAACAGACACTTTTTCAACCGAACACAGCTGATGCCGTCGACCTCCCTTCTCCAATCGACAGCAGTGTGCGAACACCGGCCGTTCGGGAGATTTAAAGGCATGAATGGACTTACCCCAGATAGCCTTTCCATGGAGTCAATCGCATACCGAAGAACTGTAATAGACTTTGACTCCATGGCGATTGAACTATGCGTATTGGATCTGAGCGCTATTCGCCAATAATATGCACTCAGATCCTGGCTATCTGGGGATGTGTTACACAAATGAGAAATGTTCGGCAGTTATAAAGTTATGTATTTTTATGTGTTTTATGATTTGTATTTAAAATGGCGATTTGCCTCTGCTCTGGGAGATAATTGAATTACTTCTCAATTATCTCCCGGGCAGAGGGGAGGAAACCGTGATGTATGCTGGGAATATTGTGTGACTGTATGTCCTGAAATGCCATATGTCCATCTGCTATTCCAGTCTCCCATTTGGTCCCCTAGGGGAGTGTCCACCAAGTGGGAGACCTGCATAAATACGGGCGGGTAGCCCACAGTAAACTCAGTTCATGTTTTACCCTCAATGCGGAGCTTGGTCTCGTTATTGGGGGGATTTTATTACCGGCGACTAGAGACTGCTATTTGGAATTATCAGCCGCTTGGGAGATACCAGCGTTCGGCTGATATTGACGGTTCGTGAGCTTGAAACTCGTGGAGGGAAGTGACCGTACGGATACCGTTCGGGAGTTTGGAGTGTTCCCTTGCTGGCGGTTCGCATGGTTGTATTGGATACGCTTACAGCCTACATTATTGCGAACGGGGAGCATTCACTAAACGGCGGTTTGTACATTTCATGCTGAAGGTACTGTAACAAACATACTATACAAAGTACAGGGTGTTCATTACATTCTCCACTAAAGATTCTACCCACGTAGACTTCTCCATAAAAACTATGTCTCTCTTCAATTACATATAACATCCTCTTCACCATTAGAGCTTTTTTTCTGTCCTCCCTCTTCTCTGTTAGAGATTTTCCTTTCTTTTCCTCTCCTGTTTAAATGTATCCCTATCTGCCAATACCACCAATTCTCACTTTTGTTAATGGTATTTTTTTCAAATATTAATATTAATAACTTGTTAACATATGCTTTTAAAGAACCACTATAGTGCCAAAAAAAAAA